GCAGTTCAGTTCCCAGTGAGGGGTAGTGGCATCTTTCCCACCTGCTGGGCCACGGATTAGCCACATTTTTCTGTATTTCCTTTCTTTCGTCTTTTTTTAGGTATCATTTACACACAGCAAAATGCCGCTATTTTAAGTACACGGCTTGAGGAGTCTTACACAACTCCAGTCAAGCTCCGGAAATGTTAACTCCCCAGAAACTTTTCTCACGGTCCCTGCCAGGCAGTCACCCACCAGAGGTAACACTTTTCTGATTATTAGTAGTATTTTATCACTCGAATCAATACATAGTGGATTCCAATCCCCCAGAGAGTTCTCTGATGCCTTAACTTGGTCAGTACCTGCTCCTGTGAGTAACTGTGATTCTGACTCTAATTGCTGTAGATCAGCTTTGCTTTTTCTTGAATCTTGCACATGAATGGGATCATCAAACAGTCTTCTTTTTACACACTATAATTTTCTTTTGATCTCCATCCATGTCGTGTATCAGCAGTTTGTTTTGTTTTCCTTGCTGTGTAATATTCTGTCATGTGGCTGTGCATCAGCTGGCTGATTCATAAGTATCCCCCTAGGCCTGGCCTATTCTCAGATTTCCTTATCTTCCACAGCTTCTGAATCAGTTTAGTTTTCTCCTTACACCTCTGCCTCTCCATCCCTGAGTGGAGGCTAGCATTTGCGCTCCTGGCAACCAGCACTGTCTGTGTTTTGTTCGCTGCTGTATCCTCAGTGCCTAGGACAGAATGCGACATGCAGCAGGTACTCCGTGTTTGCGTAATGAATGAACGAACACATGTTCAGACACACAGTTTTAGTTGTCTTCAATCCTGGCCTTGTGGATACTTTCCCCAGCAAACCAGAGCTGCAGGATTCTCAGGACGATCTCTTTGCCCACAGACTTACGTGAACTCCCGGGTCCGCAGATCACACTCAGGCTCCCTTGAGAAGAGCCTTCCTAACCTCTAGACCAGATTCGGTCCTGTTACAGGCCTTCTGTCTGTCTCTCACCCTCATCGTGACCCTCATTGCACTTGATTGTCATCGCTGCTCTGATTGGCCGCCTTGCCTCTGATTCCATGGGCATGCATAGCCCGTATTTCTTTTCACCACTAAATGCTGCACTCCACACTCCGGCATGTGAGAAGCACAGGGTACGTACTAGAAAGGATATTTTTCACAGGGAGTTTCTCTCTGCCAGACTGTGCCTCTCGAGACCCCAGCCATTAGACAAAGTCCTTTATGAAGAGAGAGGTGGATTTGGAAACGTGACTGCTGCCAAGGCTGGAATGTTGGTGTCCCTCCTCCTGCTTCATATTCATCTGTTGAAGTTCTAACCAACCTGCCCACCCCCCATCCATGTGATTATATCAGGAGGTGGTGCCTTTGGAAGGTGATTAGGTATAGATGCAGCCACGGGGGTGTGTGGAACCCCCATGATGGGATGAATGCCCCTGTAAGAAGAGGAAGAGACTGGAGAGCTCCTTCTTTCCTCCGTAGGAGGACACAGCAAGGAGCCAGCACCTTGATCTTGGACTTCCCAGCCTCCAGAACTGTGAGAACTGTCTGTTGTTTAGTCCACCCCGTCTGTGGAATTTTGTACTATCAACACACGCTTCTAAGGCCTCCTTCGTGGAGGATTTCTACTTAGCATTTCCTGGGCAGGCTCTTGTTTCTACCCTTTACACATTTCAGCCCCAATACTAAATCTACAAATATGTTTGTTGAGTCAGGGTCACGGGAAGCTAGACATTGACTTGGAGTTGTCCTGAGGAAACCCTTGTATGTTCCTTTTCACCCAAATGTTTGGGAGCCTGGGAGCCTGGAAGCACTAGATCTGTGACCTCTTCATCAAGTTCCATCCACTTACTTGATTGTACTCCCAGCCTCGAGCCCCTGCAGCGAAGGGTGGCTTCCAGAGAGGAGTCAGATACTATGCACATGTGGTCTGTCTTCTTTATTTTCAACATGGACTCTTCAGGGCTTCAGAAGGGTCCGTGGATTCCTGAAACGCTGCACAGAGCTCCAGGTACTGCGCTTATGTGTGTTTTCCTGGGAAGAGAGTCTGGAGTTTCTTACCAGATTTTCATAAGAACTCACGCATCCCCTAAAGTTCAAAACTACTGGTGTCAAGTTCCTTCAGTGATCCTTCCAGTTTATTCCTGAAATACCTCAAGTACAAGAGTAGAGAGTGTGGGCAGGAATGCTGTCTGAGTCCTGGGTTCTAATGCCCCACCCCTGCCCTGCCTTCTCCTGGTTTCACCGGACGTGAGCCCTCCCTGGGCCTCAGTTTCCTTTCTGCTGACCCTGGTGGTTGCATTTGATGGCCGCAGAGGTTCCTTGCACTGTCTGGTTGGACAGTCACCGCAGACAGAGAGGAAATCACAACAGTCCTCCTGACCCAAATCAACACGGTCTCTGTGCATTTCGTAAAAAGGTGGTGCCTACAAAAAAAATTAGTGCATCTTATCCCAGCTTCTGCCCCTTTGAGCCACTAGTACATGTGACTTTTAAAGAATGCCAGTAATAATCAATGGATTATTAAAAAATAAAGAAAAGACAAATCACTAACCTGATGGCTCTTGGTGTCAGGTACAAACAACACTGATGTTTTCTTGACATATTCTGGAGGAGTCAGAAGGAGAGATGGCTGCATCGCTCATCAGCACTGGGACATATGAACCAGTAAGTCGTCTGAGATGGAGACATTCATACACTCGTGGGAACGTTTGCAACTCTACTCACACCAACCATCAGAAATACATGAAAAGGGACTCAACATTTGGAAAAATTAATACTTTATTTTCTTCCTGGTGGTCATCAATTTACTGCTAGTGCTTGAAACAGGAGAGCAAAAACCATGGTGGAAAGTCGATGGAAGAGAGTTTAAGGTGGCCCCTTGCTCCAGCCCCAAAGCATTGAAGTCGGCTGCTCATAATTCTGTCCAAGGCCAGTCTGTGAATAATTAGATTAAGGAATCGGGCAGGGTCATCACAGAGCTACAGATATCACCCTGGGGGCCTCATTGGAGACTGATGGGAACTCTGGAGAGTTGATGGTGGTGATCAAAGGCTCCGTAGATTTAAAATGCACAGAGGATGAGCCCAGAAATAATCTGCCTGCCGACTTAACTTCTCTACCTGGAACAAATTATCCAAAAATCAATTTGCAAACACCTTTGAGATAACAAGGCCTTGAGAAATAACCTCCATGGCTTTGTAAAGAAGAGCATCTAGCTTGACTAATCTGTTTAATTTCCTTCCCTGCCTAAATGGCAGGCTGTAATAGAGGCAATCTGCAGCTGTCCCTGAAGATTTGCTCTGAGTCACACTGAGACGATATTGTCCACCTCTGTTTCAGAGCAATTATTCCATTTGCGGAGAATCTTTGTTGCCAGGTAATTAATTAGAAAGAAAACACCAAAGGAGCTGAATGAGTTTTATCCATCCAGAAGCTCTCACCTGAGTTCCAAACTGAAACTCATACCTGCCTCAGCCCCCTGAAGAATGCAGAGGTTCCCCCAAAAGCTCTGGAACACACCTGCATTGTACTCCATCCCCAATATCTTTCCCACCCTCCACTTCCTAATTCTGCTCACGGCATCACTAAGTCGCTCGTACCCCTTGACAGATAATCCCACTCCTGGAAGTGGGTCCTAAGAAAATATGAGACAAGCAGGACGGAGTCATTTGCACAAAGATGCCCATGGCAACGCTCTTTACCATAGCAAGACGTGGACCAACGCATGGGCGCATCAGCTGGGGAATAGGTTTTGTGATTAATCGATGGATTATCGTGTGGCTATTGAAGACAGTGATAAGATCTATGAGGTATACAAGCAAAGCCCTTAGAATACAGTAAGGAAAGACGGATGTGCACTGTATCTGTGTGCACCTGGAACCCCCTGGAAAAAGTTGGCGTATGCGAATAGGAACTGGAATGGAACGTGGAGAAAGAAAGAGGCTGTTATGCTGGGTCATAGGGAAAGGAACCTGTTTCCTCTTGCTATTCACCCTCTTTATTGTCGTTCCACTGCTCTGTTTTGCAACAAATAGGAAATACATCCACTTTGGTTTTCACAAAATGGGCATCACGAGGTAAGCAGCCTCCCGAGGGGGGAGAGCCGGTCTCAGGAGGCGTGCAGTTGTGGGGTCTGTCCTTCCTGATCCCATGATCTCGCGTGGGTGACCTGGTCACCTGAGTTCTCAGGGGTTTTTTCCATCAAAATAGAGGTGGCAATGTCCCAAGAACTACACAAAGTAATGCATGTGAGATTTCATGGGAAAAAGTACAAAACACAGGTGGATTTCTGCAGCTTTGCCCAGTGAGAGGCAACCACAAATGCTTGTTGAAAGCCTGGTTGATCTAGCTGAAGATGGAGAACTTAATGGGGGAGGGGTGGCAACAGGTAACAAATGCAATATAACTTCGCATGACTTGACCCTTGACCCTTGACCCCCACCGGGGGTCCTGTGGCCAGTGACACTGTCCCTGCTGGAGAAACCTGCTACAGTTGAGGAAGAAGCAGAATTCTCCCTGGTGCCATCATCCTTGGGCTACTTAGGCTCCAATCACTCTTCGGGAGAACTACTAACAATCTACGGGTTCCTGTAAAGGACGTGTTTGTGAACCTCGGGCTCCCCTGGCGTTTGAGCCAAACTGCAGTCCAGTAAAGGCAGGTTCTCATTTGAGAACTGAAAGCAGAATATTGGCCCAGACAGCTTTGCTGGGTTCTGGATGAACCATTTTCTCACAATTGCCTTCTCTCATCCCTGTCTCTAAGTGAGAGAGATCTGGTAGGTGTTAAATATAGTCACTGATGAAATACTGATTCAGATACTTAAGGTGCAAAATCGTGAAAGTTATAGTAAGACCTGAATGGGGTTAAAAAGGGGTCTGGGCTGTTTTTTCTGGCTCTCTGAAATCCTGTCCCTTTTTCTCACGTGCTTGGTTTCCATTCTGTGAACCATGTGAGCCTCACATTTGTTTCTGATTGTGTCTTTCAGAGCCTCCCACGCCCATCGCGCCCCCAGAGCTGCTGGCTGTGGGGGCCACGTACCTGTGGATCAAGCCCAACGCCAACTCCATCATCGGGGACGGCCCCATCATCCTGAAGGAGGTGGAATACCGCACCACCACCGGCACCTGGGCCGAGACCCACATAGTGGACTCTCCCAACTATAAGCTGTGGCACCTGGACCCCGACGTGGAGTATGAGATCCGGGTTCTGCTCACACGGCCGGGAGAGGGGGGCACAGGGCCACCGGGGCCTCCGCTCACCACCAGGACCAAGTGTGCAGGTAAGAGCCCCCTCCCTGACTTCATTAGCAGAGGCTGGGCCATCGCTGTCCACGGTCTTCCTCTTGGCTTTCCCTGACCATCATCCCTCAGCTTCCTTGATGCAAGTGTGCATCCCGTTGTGCAGGAAAGCCATCAGGGCACTGGTCCTGGCCTGAGAGGACCCGCTGGCTTTGCTGGCATCTCTGCAGACCGCCTCACTCTGACTGTGTGCTCTGACTGTGTGCTCTGACTGTGTGCCCTGAAGGTCTCACTGGGACTCGATCCCTGGGTGCATCTGGTTCCTGTGGTATATCTAAGGTTTCTGGTTCTTGCTGTGTCCCTGAGAACCCCTGCGTTGGGCCTAGGTCCCTTATGAGTTCTTGGTTTTCACAGTTTCCCTGAGGGTTCCTGGTTGCAGTTCTGTCTTTGAGCGGCGCCTGGCTCCGGAAGTGTCTCTCAGGGGATTCCGGAGCTGCTTAGTCACAAGAGCCTCCTGGGTCCATGTCTCCTGGAGGCTCCCGGCTCCTGCCTAGGAGTCTGGGTTGGGACTGACCCTCCAAGGGTCCTCTGGATTGTCTGTCTCTACAAGCTCCTGGCTCAGGGGTCCCTGGGCATCCGTGGCTCCAGCACTTTCTCTGGGGTTCCTGCATGCTGCTTAAGAGTGTCCTGGCTGGGACTGGGGCTGGGAGGGCTCTGTGGATCCAGCTTTATCCCTGCGGGCTCCAGGCCTCCCTGGAGTTTCTCACTGGGGCCGTTGGCTGAGAACGTGTCTCTAAATGTGTCCCTGAGATGTTTCAGCTCTGAATGCAACTCAAGAAATTAAAAGAACTCGATGTTCTTTTTTGTTTTCATATCATGTGGTGTATGTTGTCTCATGTTTCCCCTCTACGTAGCCTTTCAGTATGACTATTTTGATTTCATATACACATGAGTGAATGGAGACTCATTATTTTTAAACGTTTTGCCCAAAGTCATGGCGTTGGCCAGTGGCACAGTCAGAACTCGTACCTGACGCAAATGCCCTTGCTCGTTGGCCTCACTGGCAGGAGCAGGCAGGGAGGTGTGTGCCCTCGTGAGGTGCGTGCAGCTGGGGGTGCTTCACTGGGCGGTCAGGGAAGCCATGGCATGGGCTGTGGGGTCCAAGAGAAAAGGGTGGGGACAGAAAGACGCATCAGCACAGTGACCACCATGACACAAAAAGCCAAGTAAAATACAGCCAGTTCCACTGTGATGTGACCAACGTGTTCCTAAGGATCACCGCACTCGGGAGAGTTATGCAGTGAAACCCCTGGGCTCGTGAGGCGCAACACTTGTGCTCCATCAGGGACACATTAAAAAAGAGAGAGAGACAAACCTAGTAAAAATGGTGGCACAGTTTTGCACGTGAATGCCCAAATGTGCATAAAACGACAATACCTAGGGCGTGTTACCTTAAAACGTGCTGACGCTTGCTCGTGGATGTGGGCGTCAGAGAGGTCGCAGCCTGGGAGGTGCTGTGAGCGGGGGAGGAGGGCCGTCTGACAGTGGGGGAGCGTCACAACCCCGGGTGTGGACGGGTGCGGCTGGTAACCTGGGCGGTGTGCGCAGGAGCAGGTGGCTGCTGGAGGTGGGCGCTCCGTGTGTCCTCCTCCGTGGCTCAGTCCAGCGGGGCGCAGCTTTCTGCCTCACTCGTGCAGAATCACACTGCAAATGCGCAGTTTGTGTTATGCTCCAAGCCCGTCCTAATATGCTGACTGCGATGGAACACATTCACATGTCAGGACAAGAGTTCTAGAGAAATCGACAGCGGCCTTTCTAAAGTATCGCAGTGCTGCGTCTTGGCACCATGTGACCCCAAGTCGGTATTTCCATTGCCTGGGAATGTTCCTTTGAAAGTCACTGAACTGCCATGATGAAGGGAGATGCTGTTTTCTTGATTATTTCCAAAAACGGGGCCTTTGGTAAAATTCCTCGTTGAAACCTGATTATGAAACATACCACTTCAAAAGGACATAAGATGTGTCATTAATTCAGGTACTACCTTATCTCAGCTGTGCAATTCAGTATCCATCCATAAAAATAATTGATTCGATCCTGCCGATGAGACTTTCCTCTTTCCATGGGGTAAATCTAAAAGTTTCCAGGGCTTTTGAGCTTTATGAATGCTACCCAAAGGACTGTAGCAGCCCCCATGGATGTATTGCTGATGATCCCGTAATGTATTTTGAAATTCAATCACAAGATGATCATCTCAATAAAAATTTACGATCTATTGAAAATTGTTGCCGTGACCGTGTAATGGATTTTACATGTTGAAAACACAATTGTCTGACTAGCAGTATAAAAATCATGTATTAAAATGCTGTTTGTGGTTTTATATTTAAGAAAATGTTGATGTTTAAGTTTTGACTAAAATCTTCAATAACCCACATTTTATACAATGTATCATCTAGAAGATTATCTTCTTTCCCACATTACCACTGATAGCAGAATGTTCTTTGCCTCGTGATGAACTTTTAAGAGAATTCCAAGGTTGATAGTCATTTGTGGATGCTGTTGATGGGGGTTGGTAATCTCAGCCCTCCCACCCTTTCCCTATTCATTATTAATCACACCGAAAATGTACTCATTATTTTACAAAACAGAAAATGAGAGAGTGTGGAGTGTGCAAGGTTTAATTTCTGCCCGGAGGAATTTACAGGCTGGGTTGAGATTCCCACAAAACAGCATAAAGGATAAAACATGAACATAAAGTCTGGTATTAAAATACCAAACTTCATAGGAGAACACGGTTGGTGTGGGAGGAGCAATGCTCATGGAATGATCTGGAGCAGTGGTCCTCAAACTGTGGCCCCCAGACCCATGCACTGGCACCCCTGGGAACTCATTAGAAATGCAAATTCTCAGGCCCCACCCTAGACTGAATGATCCTGAAGTTCTTGGGTTGGGGCCCATGGGTCTATGCTTTAAGGAGCGCCCCCGAGGGATGCCGATGCACACCCACATTCAAGAACCACTGACCCACTAACACGCCACCCTGGGAATGCCCAGCATACTGCTTGGTCCTTGAGGCAATTCTGAGAGGTAGATGGGAGGAAACTGAGGCTCAGAATCATCAAGCCAAGGTTACAGAGCTGAGCTTCTTGGCCTAAGGAACTCCCCAGTGTGTGAACTGATGGAGTTTCCTCTGCAAGTGTCCACTTGAGTGTGGGATCAGGTGATAGGGAGACTGGTAGCTATGGAGACCAGGTGAGAATGAATGGCTGCCATGCACTGTAACAAATAGTCCTTTTCACCAAACACCTACTGAACCAATCACTTCCATGTGCCAGACTCTGTGCTAGGCACTGGTGGCAGAGGCTGCCCCGGTAAGGACATGCTAAAAGCAGACAGAGGCTCACAGCAAAAAGCTACAAGTTCAAGCATAGGCCAGGAAGACACCAGAGGGCCAGGTCAGCAAGGGCAGGTCTGACAGGTCACCATCAGGGCACTGGCAAGGTCCAACCCTTAAGTGAGAGACCATCAATAAGACTTTGGCGGCATCCCAGACCACGAGTGTAGAGTTCAGAGTAGGACTTGTAGCCAGGTAAGTCTGAGCCTGGACAGACTGTCGGGTAGGACTCTGGGAATGTGGGGATGGGAGAGGAGAGCCAAAGATGAGGCTCCCAGGCTTCTGGTTGGGATGACTGAGAGACGAAGGGTGGAGTCATGTTCCGAGGTGGAAAGCACAAAAGAAGAGAGCGCGTCTAGGTCTGCACCAGCTCCTGGGAGGCGGAGCTGCACAGCGTCGGTGGTGTAGGTACACCTGGAGCTCAGGTGAGACCGGCAGATTACCTGCCCCTCCGCGGGGAGAATTACCTGATTGCACCTGGATTTTAGAATCAAAGGGACTTCTTAGTACTGATGAAAGCAATTTAATTCTCTTTCTTTATGCTGTTCTCTTGAGATGCCCCATTCATTTACGTTTTCCATTCATCATTTCGTTCCTCTTGCTCCGTTTAATCATTCACCATCGTCCCTGAGATACAGGCCCAGGGAGCCAATGCGGTGATGTACATCAAAGTGCTCTGGAAAGCTCCAAATGCTCTTTAGATGCTTATCATGAAACAAATCATTATTATTTGTTGCTGCTGCTGTTACGCATGTTATGATCATGAATCATCATATCAAAGCAGGAAGTCCGTCTTGCCCATTTCTCTGGGCTGACTGGTGTCTGGAAAGGTGGGCTGTATTCTCTTGCTGTTCTTCATCATGCGACAGAAAATCCCGTTTCAGAACATGATGACCATAGTGTGGGATGGACTCCCAGAGGTTTTCTTGTCTAGAACAATGGGCGGTTTCCTCTGGCACATTCCCAACGGCAGACGTCCAGTGATAGTGTTTGGGCCCGGGGGTGTTGTCAGGTGCCCGCCTCCCACCCCCGCACGGAGTACCACCTCGAATGCTGCCCCCGATGGGAGGTTCACAATCTCCCGTGGCAGACTGTTTTACTGCTGGGGGCCCCGGGGGGTTACTATTACTGTCTCCCCAGGGTTGGCCTGATTATCGTGCAACTCTAGATGGGTCCTTTGTAGGAGCAGAGAGCGCCCACTGGGTTTAAAAGAGGTGGGGCAGCAGACAGGCTGCTAGCATCAACTATCTGGAGTCCCCAAGGAGAACCAAGGGCAATGACCTTGAGGATGGGCAGCAAGGTCAGCAAGAAGGTGAAATAAGAGGTGCAGACACAGCCCTGATGGTCCCTGCATCTCTTCAGCAGGCTCTACTTTGAACGTCCTGGGCACTTTCTCGCTGATGTCTTAAACTATCACCCCGCATCAGACAGAGAAAGTCTCCCCTATTGTAACCTGAATCTGTCTCCATGCAGACTCACTCACGGACCTGGTTTTACTCTTGGGGGACTTACTCCTCCTTATCTCCCGAACGGGTCGTCAGCCATCTGAAGTTGTCTTTTTTAATCTGCAGAAGGCTTCCCTCTTCGTTCCCCCAGAGCAGGGGTGTCAGGCTCATTTTCCCCAGGGGCCACATCAGCCTCCTGGTTGCC